AGTATATATTACAAGATTTAATTGAGCAAATTAAGTAAAATTTACCTGATTTATTCACAAATATTTAACTATATTCTCAATAACTTTTACCAGATAATGATGAGAGTAAATTTTACGTGAATTTGTAGCATTCAACTTTACTTAACAAACGTTAGTGCAAATTTGTTAGAGGATTTTTTCAAGTGAATCTTACAAGTTTTTTTCAGTGTACGATGACACAGCACAATTGCTGAACAAAAATAAAACTGTTGTGCAAAGGATGGCTTTTAATTGTTTTTGAAGTCTAATTCCTTTAACACCCGTTCCAGAAATATTTTCTCTATTTGCATCCCTGCAGGGTGATATAAGAGTGCTGTGTGAAATGACAGCCTGTGCTGTATTTACAGAAGAGTGTTATTTATCTGCTGCTGTGATGAAACAGGATCTGTAAACCTCAGGAAGTAAGAGCAAGAGATTCACATGTGCAGAAGTCTTTGTTACCCTTGTCTCAGGGACTTCGTTTAGTTACAAATCAAATTTCTACCCTTGTTCAGGACACTCTGGTAACCAATGTTCTCTCTTACAGTAATATTGGATGTTCTAATGTGCCAATTAGGAACATTTCATAGCAAAATAAATAAATGAAAGAAGCTTTTGAAAACTATTTGCTATGTTTGTTCACTTTTTCCTTCTTCCCTTGTTGTTACTTTTATTCATTTTCCACTGCAGGCTGCTTTTTATTCTATGCAGTATGAAAATGTAGATTTTTCAAGCAAACACAGACCAAAGGACAGAAAAATGATTTTATTACTATTATTGTTTTTTTCTTTTTTTATTTTTTTTTAACCAAACATCCATATACACGTACACATACAGTGTGTTTGACAGTTTTTGTTTGACATTTGGAAACCCATTCAGCAGCAGCAGCATCACTCTTCCATTCTTCCACCACTTCATTTAGATTCGAACCATTCTGACATTTATGTGACAAATCAAAACGAGGGTTTTGGTATTTTATGCATTATCAAGACAAACTGAATGAAAGAAGCCACAACTGTCTTTGCTTTCTGGGATGTGGAATGCCAGAAACTTACATCAGGGACAAACAATATAAATAAACATGTTCTTTGTAAAGCTGTGGTAGAAAAATAGACATGAATCTGAATTTGATCCTGTAAGGAACTCAATAGTGCATGCTCTAATGTATTAATATTCTTACTAAATGAAATAAGGAAGAGAAAGAAAACTGTCATGCTAAAATTCTTTGAGCTAACAGTTAGGTTAAAATAATACTTTGTTTTAATGTACAGTAACTACACAGTAGTTGCAAATAATAGTGATATGTATAAAAAATCTCCATCTGATTCCTTGATGCAGGCCAGTGCAAGTTGTTATAAATAAAGCCGTTTATTTAAAGAGAATACAAACWGGATCAAAATGTATTTTTAGCTTGACAAATTATAAAAAAAGAAAAAAGTTTGATCTTTTTAAACTCTTTGAACAAAAATAAGGATTATTTTACTTTTTCTAAGAGCTTTATTGTGTGAAAATGTTTCTTTCACACTTATTTTCAGATGAATAAAATTTAAAACAAAGAGCAACTTCTGATGATTTTGCTTTGTTCATTTATTCAGATCAAAGGTCAAAAGCAGAAATAACTGACTTTGTAACTTCTATRAATATTTATTTCATTTAAACCATTTCACTAAGCCTTATATTCCTGTGTTAGTTCTGCTATTTTTTATCTTTTCGCTCGTAAATGTTGCCATAAACCAGGGGTGTCAAACTCCAGTCCTCGAGGGCCGCTATCCTGCATGTTTTTGAGGTTTTCCAGCTCCAACACACCTGATTCAGTGATTGAATTAACTCTTCAATTGGGCAGAAGCCTGTTAATTACCCAGCGATCAAAATCAGGTGTGTTGGAGCAAGAAAACCTCTAAAACATGCAGGATAGCGGCCCTCGAGGACAGGAGTTTGACACCCCTGCCATAAACATTAGGCTTACTTTTTAGGTTTTGACTTTATTTATTGACTTTTATATTTTAGCTAAAATTTAAAATTAGCACAATATTCTAAGCACCAGTGTAAAAAGCATTCCCTCCTAATACTGTGAGAAACACATCAGTTTGGCAATCAATCTGTGTCCAACACTTTTTAGTTTCTTTTCTTGGCTGTTCTAAAAAGGGGTGAAAATGTTTGCAGTGTATTGCAAAGTGGGGTTACGTAGAAAACTCTCAGACTTAAGGGCCAATTTTGTCTCCCTGGTCTAGGACTTTCTACTTTCCACTTCTGTTTTTAAACTCTACATTTGTTTACCTTATTTTTAGTGATGAATCATACCTAAAAAGCAATTAAATGAGAATGAAAAACTGTTTTTAAAATATCGTTTTTTGAAATCGGTGCCGGTATCACAAATAGCTCCCGATTCAAACCAAACGGAGACATCTACCAGGTCTGACCCATGGTTGACACTTTCTGAGTGGGTTTTAGTGAAACTTCTGTTTGTATAATCTCCTGTAGGCATGTGCTATTTGTGTATGCCACATTCTGGCAAATACACAACTTCCATTGAGTTCCATTATCACATTGAACCGAATGTTGAATTTTCATTACGACATGGGACATCACACTAACACCGACAATACAGACTGGTAACCACACCAAACTTTGATGGAACTTAACGTTTGAAAATGTGGACTGAGATAAAAACAGTTTAATGAAATGAACTTTTTGTGCTTTTACTGATGCCCATGGAAAAATATCAGCAATGAATAAGGCCACANCCTCAGGATTCTGCACATTAAGGGTTGTATTTCATTCAGAAGAGATGGAAGAGTGTTGTATCCTTTATAGCTATAATAWGTTACGATAATTATTTGCTCATGGCTATTTTGATACCCACTGCTACATCTCAGCATTGCTGCTGAATTATTTATGCCTTACATGAGAAAAACAAATCAAAAAATAAATGTATACGTACAAGAGTGTACTCTTTGTAAGGATTTAAAAATACTAAATGCATATATTCAAAAAAAGATTAATTTAATTTGAAGTGTATTGYACTATCACTGCTGTGAACAAAAATAAATCACATTATGCAGCTTTAATTGATTTGTAGAAAAGAAACAAAAAGCTGTCAGATACCTTGCAAACAACCACAGCCTGCAATCTGTTTTTTTTTTTTTTTTTGAAAACTGTCACATGGTAAATAACTACTGCTTCTGAGCTCTGTGATTTAATAGCTGTTGAACACGGTGTGGATGAAGCCCAGCAAGACTTCTGGTTCAGTCACCGACAGGAAGAAAATGTAAATCTTTGGAGACCATAACTGTTGGAGTATAATATCTTTATACAAAGTGCAAATTGCTTTCTCTTTTGAAGCTATCCCTACCTCACTCMATAGCACATCCCTCACAGAAATGCCCTCATATCACACTTTTTTTTCTCTCTACCTAAACCTATTCTTTGGCAGATGAAGACAGTATGAATCTGAAGAAACTTGCCAAAAATATATTTACCATTTAAGGTGTGCTATTTGACTGAATAAATCTACATAGATTCTAATTTAACACCATGTTTGTCATCATTTTCAAGAATATGTTGGGTATATTTTGGATTCTTTTTTTTCTACATAATTTATAGTTTCAGTCTAGGAACATACAGTGTATTGTTTGATTTTAATGTTTGATTATATATCTTTTGATTCTTTTATACAAATTTTAGACTAAATAACGATAACACGGCTAAAGTGAGAAAATATCTACTTGCAACTTTTTTCTGCCTGAAAATATCAATCTTTTCCAGCTTCCTGCCACTCTTTGATTCAAAACAAGTGGTATTGTTAACCTATTTTTTCAGTTTTGGTAAAAAAAAAAAAACCTTTACTGTTCGTGAATGAGGCTTTTTCATATGGGAAGAATCTGCTTAACAAGTTAGCAGCAGTTAAAAACTGAGGTTATTGGCTGTTAAAACATCCTTTATGTTGTGGATCTTCAGTCAGTCGAGTACTTTGTTTTACAAAGATAAAGTCTGAATGAAGGTGATCAGAAATCTCAAACTACCTCTAATACTTTATAGATATTTGGATCCTTAGGCTGAATATGTGAGTTGATGCTGAAAGGGTTTTAGTTTTTCTAATACTAAGGTGACAGCAGAAGTAACACCTTTTACGTTTAAATGTTTCTTTGTTATATGTTTTGGCCTCAAAATATTGAATTTGTTTAGGCCATTTGACCTTAACCCCAAACCCATTTGGTGCAAATAAAAATCAGAGGTATTCACAGACAAAAAGTGATCCCTAATTTAATTTTGCTGATGGCGTATAACACTCACTAACCTTTGATTGGTACTCATTCCTTGGGAATGTCTTTAATTAGTTCATGTCCATGTTTAAAGTGAGTCAGTAGCACTTCGTGCTTTAGTCCTGGTAAGAAACAGCTGGGCTGACTTCAGTGTCTTCAAATAGTTTGAAGTTCCAGGATGACACACGCTCTCGACACAAAATGCTTTCACTCCTCACTGTCCTCCTCGTCTCCCTTGGCTCCTTTACTCCAGCGCTGGAAGCAATGGACCGTCGATGCCAAAAAGAAGCTGGTCATGATGGCCACCACCGACACAGAGATGCCAGAGAAAATGATGATGAGCAGGTCTGTTAGAGTCAGCGTGGCCTGGCACTCTCGAAAGCTGTCTTTAGACAGCTGGGTCAGGGAGACACGTCTGCCGTCCATGGGCAGGGAGCACTCCATGCCCTCTACACCTAAAAGCAAACAAACAAAACATTTAGAAAACTGAACGCCAAAGGCGAAGAAAAAAATAACCGGGTTTTATTCATGTCAATGCGAATAAAAATGAAAGAAAGAAAAAAGAAGTATTCTGCTGAGACGACATTAAATTAAAGGACACAACAGTGATTGAATTATATTATTCAATGGAAATTCTAACAAGAAAACAAAAAAAAACAAACTAAAAGAAACATGTCTCGCTTGCATAATATTCATAAAGTTAAGTTTTATAAAGTATCTCAGTTGTGCAGCCTAATGCACTTTCTTAAGAGGATTGGGAGCTGATTTAATAACTGTGAGGTCKATCAAAAGTCCTCATGACTTGATGAGGTGAAGTTTGTTGTGTTTATCCAGTACACCCACCTACAGCATGCCTGTGGCTTTGCTCTCAGAATACTAGAATCACTAGAACACAGTGTGTTTGATACATACTGTAAAATAACGATTTATTCATGTTTTTATGTATACTAGTGTGTTCTAAACAATGTTTAAGTAGCTCTGGATGTCATGATACCTATGTATTTTTATGTAGTTTTTATTAAATGCAGGATTTGAGTGTTGAATACATAAATAAAGCACAATTGCATTTTTTTTCGGGGCACCTTGACCAAACTCATCCAACAAAACAAAGAGCAGCTTTTTGTCATTGACACATCTGCAAAATTTAATGTTTCTTTTAATGCACCTTTATTTTATAGCTGTTGTTTAGTATGTCCCCTTTTAAATGGTCTTTTCAAATGAGATACCTTGATCATTAACATCAGTTTTATATTATGCGTTACTGACAACTAATGATACAATTGATTCATTTTGCATGTTTACAGTTTACATTCAGTTAAACTTTACCTGACAGAAGCAGTAATTAGACACAGACTGCAATACTCCCAACATTACAAATATATTGCTCTATACAGAAGTAGAATTTTGGCAACGTTTCTTGCTGGAAAATAACACTATATTGGTGGGAAGAGGTGAAGCAATGTGGGTGGCAACTTTATACTGTTGCTGTACATGCAAATGGACACATTTCAGAGTGCATGGATCTTTGCTGTTAGCACAAATTAGAGCATGCTGCAGTATGATATAAGTGAAAACATTTCTTCTGCAGTTACCTACYTCACAGTACTAATTAAAAAAAGCTATTTTTGCTCTTATTTGGCATTTAAATTTACAATGTCTTAATGTGTTAGCATAAACAAAACTTAATAATGACATTTAGGGCTTGCCTAATTTCTAAAGCATTGTGAAAGGACAAGTGACCTTTAAATGTTTTTGAGTTACATGGAGGAAAAAAAAAAGTGATGGCATGGAATCAGTTTCCCTGGTCCTCTGATTGACTTGTTACAATATTAATTAGGTTGGTAACTGAACTCTTGACGAGCTTGATAAAACTTGGTGACACTAATCCTCTAATACAATCTAGATTTTCACGTCTCATCTAGCAAGCAATTAGTGAGTAACGTAAGCCATTATACACTTCAAATTACAGGAAAATATAAAGTGGTGGTCTTCAATATAGCTTTTTTTCCCTCTCTTTTTGATTTGTAATCAAACTTTAGACCAGTGAGGAAGCCTTGGTGTTAAAAGCCTATACAATAAATCACAATAGAGGAGCTGCGTTTCAGTTTCAACGTTTTCTGTTTCCAAATCTCCCCTCTGGGACTCAGAGTAAGAGATTAAACTAATTCTTTCCTTTCAAAGAGATGCTGCGTGAAACCAAATTGCTCAATTAAACTGACAGCATCATACACATGTCCAAGACTGACAGCATTGACCTTTTTTTTTTGTTAATTTGATAAAGAAATGTGTCAGATGTAACTGTAAGGGTTTATTTCCATACAATGCCAGCAGTGATTTATTTTCATTAACTGATAAATGAAAATGTTAATCCCTTTTAAATAAACAAAATAAAAACCTTAAATCTCAGTTTTATTAAGGTTAGACATTATTGTGTTGATACAACCACAGACCTTCTGTGAAAGACTTTGTTCTAGTGGAAGCATATGTCTCCTCGAAGTTCCAACCTACACTTCTGCATCACTGGTTCTTAAATACAAATCATCCATGCTCAGGGCACTGGTGCACCCTCAAATAGCGACAGATGTTACATGTTGCACCTCTTCACTGATGACAGTCTGAATGGTGTTTCTTATGCTTGGCAAAAAAAGAGCCCAATAACCTTTTAGTCTCCAAACAAGCAAGAATGTGCACTGATTTGATGACAAAACACACTCTAAAAATGAAATGTTGGATTTACTTAACCATGTTATGTGACCTGGTTCCACTTAACTGAGTTGAGTAAATTCAAAGCAACATGCTCATGTTCTTTGGTTAAAAAACTGGTACTGTATATTGCTTTGAATTTACTCAACTCAGTTAAGTGGAACCAGATCACATAACATGGTTAAGTAAATCCAACATTTCATTTTGTACAGTGCACATGTTCACTTACTTTTCTCTCTTGGATGAACTTGTCTCTAAGCTGGTTACAGAGGTCTATAAAGTATTTAATAAAAAAGTAATAAAAAAGTAAAGTAAAATTACCTTAACAGAAAATGACGTTGGTAAAAATAAATGAGAGAAATACTTCAGTAAAAGTCAGAAAACTGTTCACAAAAATTGGGAAAGTAAAAGTAAATCTACTTTTATACACTCTAAGAAATAAACTGTTGAATTTACTTAACCAAACTGGTTCCACTAAACCAAGTTGAGTAAATTGATCAATGTATTTTCTTTTAAAGAACATAATTAAATTGCTTTAAATTTATTCTACTAGGTTTAATGGAACCATGACATGACGGTTGAGTAAATTTAACTCTTCATTTTTGGAGAGCATAAACAGCTCCTCTCATGAAGAGTTTGGACATATTTAATTTTGCAATGTGTAGGTGTTAAATTTTAAAGTAAAGAAGTAAAAGTATAATTTTTAGGTTTTAAATGTAATGAAATAAAAGCAAAAGTTACAATTTAAAAAAACAGTAAAATTACAAATCCTCAAATAAATTATGTAAGTACTGTAATGAAGTAAATGTACTTAGTTACTRTAAACCTCTGGTAAGTTAACAGTGAATCTGCACAAAGATGACAACTGGCTTTCAAATCGATATTTGAGAAGTTTGAGATGATGGAGGGGGGTTGGGGACCAGTTACTCCTGAAATCAAAGGGCAATGGTCTGGTGCAAAAGACTAGAGACAAACAAACACATGCACACACGTATTCTGAAGGCAATTTGGAAAACCCATGCCTGCACAGGAAAAATATAAAAATGTCAGTGAAGACCAGGCAAACCAAGACCTAAACCTGAAACCTTTTTAATGTTGCAAGATGACAGAACTAACACCAAATCACAGCCATTTCCAAGTCGCACCTTCATCTGGACGCTCAGCTGATGACACGTGAAAGTAGAATAGTACTCTTTAAAACATCRCCTTTTATAGTTACAGAACTATTAWATTMAAATCCCATGATCTAAAAATAACGTTTGAATTGTGAGTGACAGTAAAACTGGAACCTTTCCCAAAATCAATATGAGTGAGTGAAATGTGAGTCAAACAACTTTTTTACTTTTTGTCTTACTCAACTGATTTTTTTAAACATTATACTTAATCTATATTTTGCCCTGAAACCCACTTTTTTCCCTCAGGTTTGATAAGCTCTAAAAACATCAACAAAAACCTTGAATTACTGTAAGCTTCGTTTTCAGAGAACACGATGTCCAGGATTTATGCAGAAGCTATGATTTGTGTCGTCACAGACAACTATTTGAATTAAAAAGCACAAAAACAGACTTGCACTGTCTGACAGATGAGGGATTTACCAACAGCTGTGATACTTGGCAAAAAGTGACCTCCTGAAGCAAAGACTATAATGATAGTTTCTCATAATTACAAGCTGCCCGTTAAGAGGATCTCCAGATTTCAGTGAATGTAGCCTCATTTAAAAGAAATAAAAATTGCAGGGAATTGAAACCTAAGTCTTAACCAGATAATTATTGTCTGAGCTGCCTAAAACAAACATCTAGCCTATTCCAGCTTCAWGCTAATTTGTTTTATATATTTTGAACAGAATCTATTTTTGACAAGTTAATTAACAACACAGTAAAATCCTGTACTGCACAATCCGTTCATTCAAATAAAGAGATACTGACTTTTTGAAAACTGCATCGTTGGCTTTTTGTTTTCTGGCACTGTTGAACTGGCCCAATTTTACCCAAATAGATCATCAACAATAATGTAAGGATGCTGCATCACCTTGTTCCTACAATAGCTCAGCAAGGACAAACTTCAAAAAGGTTGTGTGGGAAAAGTCCCACACATGTCACTGAAACACAGATGGATAGTTCGTATTGCTATTTATGACTTGTGAAAATGGAAACGATGTCACGTGAATGATTCTTTGTAGTTCAAGGCACTTAGAGAAAGGCTTTTTCTATCCAGTGCTTTGGGGATTAAACAACCTTATAACATCAGAACCTAAACCAATAACAAAAACAGCTAAAGCCAGAAGGAAAACCAAACAACGAAGACTTTAAATCGGCTCGTGTGTGTCTGTCTCAGGAAAAATAAAATAAGGTTCTGCAACACAATAKACATTATGAGGATTTGTTACATTATATGCTGGTGAGAAGAGATGTAATAAATAGCAGTTTTCCCTCACAATCTAAAATCATGCTTTTTATGTAAATTAGATATTYTAAATTGACCCTAAGGTCATATTCACACCTGATAGTCCACTGGACTYGGTTCTATTGGGGACCAAAATGGCAAGATTTGTTTACATTTTCAGTTGGTGTGGTTCGCATTCTACGGAGCCCGCGAGGGGACATGGGGGGGCTTTTCTTTTCCTTTTGCATTCCCACGCAATGCTATTGCTTTGCCTCACAATATATCTGTGTTACCTCGCAAAACTTTTGCGTTACCTCGCAAAACTTCTGGCGTTACCTTGCAAAATTGTTTTACGTTCCCACACAAAAGT